ACGGAGGTCTACCGGAAAATTCAACCTTGCTAAATGCCTCCTTAGCAATATCCAGATCACATACTATAACACATGGCAAAGACTTCATCATTTGGTTCACACATGCAATACATTTCATATTTATTTGGCTTAAAAATAAATACCATCAATACTTTCATGATAATAGTGTGCATGTTATTCCACATTTAAATTGAATAAATTTAAAATATTTATTTTTATAAAATATTTTATGTATTAATATCCACATTATTTTAATTAAAATTTATTATTTTGTTTTATAAACTCATGAAAATTCTTAATTGATAATAATTTAGAATTTTATACAAAAATATATTAAACTTTCTTTTAGATATTTATTGTAATAAAAATACAATTATACAAAATTTTTTATAAATTTTAATTATAAAAAGTCTGGTACATTTTAATTATATGAATAGTTTAATAAAAAAAATATATTTACGGCACAGCACTTAATTATAATTTAAAATGTTTAAATATATTTTAATGTCATATCAATCATAATAACTTATTATTAATAAGGATGTTATGATAATTTTTTAATAAACTATACAGTATCGTAGTATTATGATTATGTAAGTTACATTTATATCTTATCATTGGGTGCATTTACAACTATACTTAATTATACAAAATGCAATGTTACGTAATTTGTATTACTGTATAGATAACAGGGTAACAAAATGATAATATTTTAATGTAATCAATAAAATTATAAACACATTCTTAAAAGTATAAAAAGCGTGTTATTAGAAAATGTTTTCTAAATTCGTTAATAGTTTTAAAAGTGATATATTAAACATTAATAAAATAATTTTTCAAATATCTTACGGTCATAATTACAAAAATGTTTACTTTGTGGTAAGTCTATATTATAAAAATAATTATGAACCAAATTTTATAAATTTATTTTTCACAATTCTATAATAAGGATTGGGTTTACACTGTTAATTGGCTTTATCATACATTATTTATCACAATATATTTGGGCGATTAAGAAATATCCCCCTGGTCCTAAACCACTGCCAATACTTGGAAATATACTATGTTCGTAAATTTACTTATATTAAACTTGTTTATAAACTTTTTAAATTAACAATTTTCATCTTGTTGATATAGTATTTCGTAATTACAAAAAACACTGGAATCATAAACTTATCAGTTTGTCAAAAATATATGGCCCAGTATTTACAGTATGGGTAGGTCCATGGCCATGTGTTATAGTATGTGATCTGGATATTGCTAAGGAGGCATTTAGCAAGGTTGAATTTTCCGGTAGACCTCCGTCTGAATTAGGTTTGTATATATATAAGTGATTAAATTAAAAAGTATTACTTTGTTACAGTATTATTAAAATGTTATTAAAACAAGTCTTATTTTTAATATATTCAAGGTGATATTTTTACTAATGATAAGCACTCGGAGATAGCATTTGCGGACTACGGCAAGACATGGGAGGCCCTACGAAAGGTTGGCCACAGCGCCATTAGGTATGTCTACTACTCTATGAAAAGTTTATTAAATATTTTAATTATAATTTTATTTATTTTGTAGAAAATTTTCAAAAACTTCAGAAATGTCACAATTGGTCAACGATAATGTTAGCGAGATGTTGGACTTAATAAAGGACAGGGAGGGCATTGATAAGCCATTCCATGCCGAACCCTATTTATATAACCTGGTTTCAAATATACACTTGGCGGCTATGTATAGCAACAAGTAAGTTTTTTCTAAATAACAAAGTATGTTTATTTAAAATGTAAATCTATGTAAATTTTACATAGGTGCCATAATTTAAAAGTTTTAATTTGAAAATAGAGTTTAAACAATGTCATGCTCTATAATCTATTATAAATATAAAAACTAAGCATGATAATTAAATTATTAAAAAAATAAAACTTTTTAAACAGGGTAAAACTAAGCGAGGCCGAGATGGAAAAGTTTAAATTCGTGTCGTACGCCTTTTCATCTGACCTTGGTGACCGCATATTTAGGTACGAATTTGTGCCATACATGAAGTACTTTATGGCCAACCCTTTCGACACGTACCGCAAGTATTTCGCTGAACTCCACGAGTTTTCCGCAAATCATTTCCAACGACACACCGAAACCTACGACAAGGAAAACAGACGTAATTTCTGTGACCTACTGATCGGCGCCAAACACGAGGCCGAGGCTAATGAAAAGGTCTCGGCTCAGCACCTGACCGATATTAATATGGCCACCACCTTGCTAGATATATTTCTAAGTAAGCAATGCAATATATTAAAATTATTAGTAATACAAAAAATAAATATGAATTTTATGATGTTTTATTTTTAAAAATCGTTAACGTATTGTATTATAATAGCAAGAAAATTTATTTATATTTAAACTTTGATGACAAAAGATGATAAAAGATAAAAGTTGAAACGTTAACTAAACCCACAAGCTTTACATCATGATAGTTTTTAATATATAATTAACTAGTATTTTTAAAATTACAGTTTAAAAACTTAAATCATATGATGATATTAAACATACATATTGTATATTTAATAATAAATAAACACAATTTTTTTATACAGCTAGCGTTGATGTGACCCACATGCTTTTATGGATAATTCTTTTGGTGGCCTATTACCCTGATGTTCAACAAAAGATACGTGATGAAATCCGCAATGAGCTAGGTGATAAACCCGTAACCGGCGATGACAGACACAAATTGCATTACACTATGGCCTATGTCTACGAGGTATTTAGATATAGAAACTCAGCTCCGATTGGTTTCTTTCATAAAACATTAAAGGACTGTAAATTAGGTAATAAATTAAATTATCAAGGTCACATCAAAAATAAATAAACTAAAAGGTTTAATTTTAACTACTATTTTTAGGCAAATTTTCACTACCAATAGATACCTGTGTAGTGGTGCACCAGTACTCTATACTAATGGATAATAATTACTGGGATAAGCCTGATGAGTTTACTCCTGGTCGATTTTTGGATGACCAGGGTAAATTGATTGCCGTAAAACCCGCAGCTTTTATACCATTTGGTTACGGCCGTCGTGTGTGTATTGGCGAGCAAATGGCATATAATAATTTGTTTGTGACCCTGGTCAGATTATTGCAACTGACCAGTCATTATACAATTGAGGTGGATAATAAAACAGCAAGCACCATTGAAGTTAATCCGATAAATGTGTGGATCCAGTCACCCCGTGATTATAAATTAATTTTGAAAAGAAAATAGACATGCTAGTTTTCGTAATTAATATTAGGTTTATATTTTAATAGCTATAGCTTAATAATACTGTATATTATTTTATGTTGTAAACTTTGTAATTTTCATTATAATTATAAAACCTAATATCGTATTCCATATTAAAAGATATTATATTTTTAGGATATAATTATTTTATGATCAACGTAAAATATACGCAAAATTTTTAAATTATTATGAACTAGATAATTCTGATTTTTTGAATAATTTTGTTATATCATTTACGTACTCAATGTTATAATACTGCAGATAATAATGTAATTTTTTTAATTACTTTAAATAATGATACACAAATAAAATTTTAAATCTTAACTTGGTGATGTAAATCTATCGCTATTTACGTCAAAAAATATTAATGCACCTGTACTACTGTATTGATAATAAATTTAGTGCAAAATAAATGATAATAAATATTACAATTTAATTTAATATAAATGTTGCTTTATGGATTTAATTATGTCTAATAAAACACTAATTTTTAAAATTATAAAATTATAATATTAAATAAAATTCTTTAATTCCTGACAAGGTTCTTTAAAATATATTATGTCCCAACATTTTCACAATGTTAATCTATTATAAAAAGTTTATTGAACCACTTTATAATTTAACATAAAAGTGCATCTTGTCATAATTACCACGTTTAGACAAATAGACACTACATTTACAGTGATATTATTTGATTATGAAACATTACTGTAAAATCATACTTTTTTTTATAAATTTGATTTTTATATTTGATAAAAAATTGTATATCTTATGGACTATGTTATATTTTACACTGTTAATTATTTACACAATACGTGTCATTTACAGTATTTATCATAAGTTAATTATAAACTTGTAAATACTATGCTTAACTACCTTATCAATCCATGTTATGCATCGTACTTATAACATTTGGTGATAATTTAATACTTCAACTTATATGAGATTAGACAAATTAATATAAACATATTAAATCGTATAAATTGAATTGGGAAAACTTATTTTTAGTTTAAACTCTATTTAATTAGATTTAATTAGAATTTCAACAATTATATTAATTATTGTTTCTGTTAAACAAATAAAATGTTTATAATTTGGTAAATTCATTTATATAATCAAATAATCAACAAATCATTAAAAAAACTTAATTTGATCATTTTTCTAAAATCAGTGCTGTACTCACCTTGGTTATTGGCCTAATTGTACATTACCTATCACAATATTATGCGGCAATTAAAAACTACCCGCCCGGTCCTACACCCATACCTATACTTGGAAACGTATTATGTAATTTTATTTAAAAATATTAATTTAAAATGAGCTTTATCAAATATATTTTATGTATTTTGTAACAGTATTTCGTAACTACAAAAAACACTGGAACCTTGAACTGATAAAACTGTACAAAATATACGGCCCAGTGTTTACTATTTGGATAGGACCATGGCCATTTGTCATCGTATGCGACCTGGACATTGCCAAAGAGGCATTTAGCAAGGTTGATTTCTCTGGTCGACCACCGTCTGAATTTGGTGTGTATTAGAAATATTTAAATTTTTAATAATCTACAAACTTATAACAAAAATTTAATTTAATGTCTGTTTTAATGTGATAATCAAGGTAATATTTTTAGTAACGATAAGCACACTGAGATCGCTTTCGCCGATTACGGCAAGACATGGGAGGCCTTACGAAAGGTAGGCCACAGCGCCGTTAGGTATGTCACGCAGTAATATATATTTTTTAATAATATTTTAATATTTTTTGTCTAAATATTTGTCAGAAAATACGCCAAATCTGCTGAAGTGTCGCATTTGGTCAATGAGACCGTGGCTGAGGTTTTGGACGCAATTAAGGACAGGGAGGGCATCGATAAGCCCTTCCCGGCTGAGCCCTATTCGTTCAATCTGTTCGCAAACATACATATGTCCGCTATATTCAGCCAAAAGTAATTTATTTATGCTAGTTACATTTATTTTTAAAAAAAGTTTAACTCTTATCACTATTTCATTGTGTATTTTAATCATAAAATAATTGTTCATAATCAGGTACAAAATAGACCAAGCTGAAATGGAAAAGTTTAACTATTGCTTTGTGGGTTTCATCACTGACCTGGGTAATCGGCTATTTCTCTATGAATTTGTGCCGTTTTTACAATATTTTATGGCCAACCCATTGGATAAATATAAGAAATATTTTGCGGAAATAATGGAGTTTTCAAAAAATCATTTTCAAAAACATAAGGAAACCTATGATAAGGAAAATGTGCGAAATTTTTGTGATTTATTAATCGGCGCCAAACACGAGGCCGAGGCTAAGGAAAAGGACTCGGCTCACCATTTGTCCGATATTAACCTGGCTACAACACT